TGCTGTTTAGAGAGCGGGAACCTATGGCGATGACCGGTTTGCAGCATTTGACAAGCTCATTGATGCTCAGGGTAGTCAGTAATGCCCTTACAACCATCATCACCGTAGGTTTCTGTGACAATGTCGGTCCTAAAACTGGCATCGCTATCATACTGATTGAGGAAAAAAACTTTCATATACAATAATACATCGCTATAAATGATATACTTTTAAGCGTCACCATGTAGTCTCATAATGCCAGTTCCTAGAGCGGAGATCTACGGTGATATACGGTTTCTAGCATTTACAGATTCATCGAGGCTCAGAGTAACCAGCAGTGTCCATCTAGTCACCATCATCGTAGGTTTTCGTCACCCTTTTGATTCTATTATTAGCTTTGTAGCCATGCACATGTTGGAAAAGATTTTTCATCATCAGTCTTGTCGTACACTCAGCTGACTCTGTAAGTTCGCCTATTCGGAATTTCGCCAACAGTACGCTCACTAGTGGCGAATTTTCCAACAACATTCGTCTATTGGCGAATCTCTAGTATGAAATTCGTCAAAAAATATTTATTTTTGCCTTAGGTATGTTCGCCAATGGGCGAATGTCATGGAGAAATTCGCCAATTTTAATCCGTAGAATTATGACTCAACTAAATTGATGATAGAATATTTAAGTATTACAGGATGTGGGTGTGGGTGTGGGCGTGGGTATGAGTATAGGTCAAGCGCATATACAACACCCAGACTCGCACCTACATCCACATCCACACGCAGTCACCTACACCCAGACCATTTTTCGTTAGTATATTCGCCAATTAGCAAATCTCTATCATGAAAATCGCCAATTTGGCGAATCTCTAGCATGAAATTCGCCAATAAAACTTTTGTTTCGTCATAGTGTATTCTCCAATTGGCGAAAACCTAGTTGATATTCGCCAGTTGGCGAAAAGAAAGATTGGGGATGGTATAATTTCACTACTCGGCTATACAGTTTTGACCGTCAACATGAAAGCTAACAATGGAAGTTAGAGGGTGGAAACCTATCGTTATGGCCAATTCAAAGAATTTTATGGACTAGTTGAGGCTCAAGATAACAGATAATGTCCGTCTAGCAGCCACCACCATAGGCTTTTATTTTTATACCGACCACCTCGTTAGCCTGATGATTATATTCATGCGTAAAAGTGTCTCGTATACGACTACATTCTCAAATTAAGAATACGGTTTCAATTCTAGAGTTTAAGGCGAACATAGCGGGTTAGAATATTAGGAGCCCACTGATATGGTCGATTTTGATCATTTTTCAAACACCTACATGCTTGCATCAATCACTGATGCTGTTACATCGGAGTTTGGCATAAGTTTTCATGGTTCCACTGACCCTTTTCTTAATCGAATCACGGTAATCAAGTATGAAAGAAACGCTTTATGTGGTATAGTACCGTCTAGTAAGGAGGAGAGCTTCGACTATCGTTATTAATGTTAGTGATGCAACGATGACGATTACCATAGGTATGGTTACGGGTTCACTACGTGAACCATTGGTACGGTTATTGCTACAACTAAGAAAACTGCACCTAAGATTTCAGAACCAATTATGATAACCATAGTTACAGTTATCAGTCATATGAGGCTTTCGTGAAACACAGTATTTTCTAAGACACTAACGAATTCCTGTGAAAACTAAAGAAAGATGATCATGATCAGAAAATTGGAATCTGAGGTCAAATTTTGAAAATGTTTAAGTTGACTTAATATGCTAAGGAAAGGTTTTCTAAGAAGATGCTGATACTTAGTAAAGAGTGACGAAAGTAAATCGGTTTTCAGGACTCGAATATGATATCAATCTATCAAGGCTCTGTATTTCAATTATCAAAAAAATGATTTCTTGGTGAATGCTATAGTTTTCTTGAGTATTAGAGTCGAATGCGCCAAGTTGAATTTCCCTTCATCAACCCATCGAGGAAATAGCTACTTTCATAATAGACACTCACTTAATCTAAAAACTTCAGTTTAAAATTTTCAAAGACTGACTTTGAATTCAGACTCTCCGGCCCCAGTTTACTTCGTCAACCTTTATAAAAACTTCACTTTCTTAACAATGCTGCTTTTCACGACATCCGTTTTGACCTAATAACTGTACCTAGGAGGATCGTAGTTGGACCGGTAACTGTAAGTACGGTTATCGCAATCGGACTATCAGCCGTACCCATGATACTCGTAGTTTGGCTGCTAACGGTAGAAACAGTCATCGTATTTAGACCGGTATCCGTAAGTATGCTTATCGTAGCTAGACCGGTGACCGTAGGTATGGCCATATAATCTCGCTGATAACTATCAATGCGGTATCATAGTTGGACTGGTAACCGTAGGTACGTTTATCGTAGTTGCACCAATAGCTTTACTTACGGTAATCGTAGCTAGGCGAGTAACCGTAACTTAGATGATAGTAGTTAGACTGGTAAGCGTACCTGTGGCTATTGTAGTTGGATTGATTACGGTAGTCTCGGTGATGGTAGTTAGATCTGTAACCGTAGGTACAGTGATCTTAATTAGACCAGTAACCATTGGTACGGTTATTGTGATTGGATCGAAAAATCTAGGTACAATGACTGTAGCTGTACCGGTAACCATAGGTATGGTTATCGGCTTCGACCGGCGAAATGACCTTCGCCGTTGTATTTCTAGTCAATATCAATACCCTCCATTTAGAACTACGAAAATCTGCGATGATGACCGGTTTCCACTATTACTCAAACAACATAAGACTCAATGCATCCAGCAGTACTAATATGCCAGTCTCCATTATGGCTCTTTATAACCTTATCGGCTTGATTCTCTGCTTTATTCCAAAATTCTGATTAGTATTTCTCAAAATTAATTAGGACGAGGAATTACTTCTTATCAGAAAGTTAAGTGCTCGAGCTTCTGAGATGTAACGTGTAGGAGAGACATCGAAATACAAAAAAGTGACCGGTGCACCGTTCACCGGTTTCACCGGTCCATCGATTAGCCATACCAACCGGTGGGTGGTGGCACCGTTAGTGCGGTGGAACGGTGGACGGTGAACCGTCACCGGTGCACCCCTAATCGAAGCTGAGCTACATTATAGCCAGTGTTACAGATACTTATGTTATTAGCTATTCATCATGTATCGATGTTTGGGCAAGATTTTTACTCAGCAGAATGTAAGAAACACGGTTTTTATTGGTATTGTTGTTGATAAACGAAAGGAGAAAGGCAGACGACATTTGATAGTAAGTAAGATGATACTTGTGAACGAGAATGGGGTCATAGGTGTAAATTATTTTCAATTCAGCATACAACCAATTGTCAATCTTCCACGCAACCCACATTAGTCAATCAATTCCAGATATGATACAAGACTTCTTCGTTTGAACGATAGTTCTTTTTATGCTTTTCGAGTTTTCGATCGAGATAGGGTGTCCAGGACATATTTTTCACTTTTCTAGTCAACAAACTGACGAATTATAATTGAACTTTATACTGATCAAGGAACTTGAGAAGTATCTCGAACAGTGCACATGCACATAGATCAAGAAATTTCGACATTTGTCCAGTTGACTGAACCATTGCAGAACATAAAATCATCTTGAAACGCCGTTTAAAATAAGAAGCTCGAAAAAAGCGTATCTGGATTGAGGAAGTAATCAAGCATCTTGATTCGAGTGAGATTTAGCAAAAATATCGGATGAGGAAAAATATTTTTCTACAAGCTGGAAAACGTTTACAGGTTGAATTCAGCTTTCATCGCCAAAATTTAGTCAACCAGCTAACTTAACTTCCAATTACCTTAAACATCTCACGTCTAGGTGAGAACTGTGTGTTTAAGGTAACCATATCTCACTATTTGGAAAAGTGGCAGATATAAGGGGCCAATTTGCATTGCGTTGCAATTTTTCTCGAAGATAGGCAGAGAATCATGTGCTACAAAATAAGCACTTGTTTTCGCGAGTTGATAAATGGGTTAGAACGTTTAGGGTAAATTTCTAGCATGACTGAAGCAGGATAGAGGAATCAGAAATATTTTCTAGAGCTTCTTCAACAGTCTTCGGAACTAAATGAGAAAACTCGTAAGGAACTCCCAATATCAAAATCCTCAATTTTCAAAAGTGAAAATAAGTATGTTAGGATTGTACAGCACGCTCGACTCGGTAATGTCATACAGCTATTTTCGCAAAAAGAATGCGAATATCTGTTAGGTTTGACGTCAGATGATCCTTTAAGACGGAAGTTGATACATCAGTAGAGCATTGCAAATTCATTTTGTTAGTTTAAAAAACACGTGATATTGCTAAGCCGACAATGCTCTAAAATCCTAGCATACTTATCTTGACTTTTTCAAAATGGAAAATTTTGATCCCGTACTGTCTGCGAATGCTTTGATTTGGTTCTGCAAACTTTGTGAAAGAAACGCTAGAAGATTTTTCTGACTGCTCTGTCGGATTTCCAAGCGCACTGGTACTTTATCCTCAAAATTTCAGTTCGTCTATCGATCCACGAAAAAAGTTGATAATTTTCTAATAATTACACACGTTTGATACCCTATCAGGGAATATTTTTGATAATACACAAATTTTCGTAATCGATGCAGGGCGTAGCTATCTATGAGGGTGAGGCACGTGTTACTTGCAGCACTATCGAGAGAGTCATTGAGATATGGAAACGACAGTTACATAAACATATCACATGCCGAGGAGACAACTGTTCATGTTTGAAATTCATTTTCGTCTGAGCTCATTCCTATTGTTCACAATTGGTATTCTAATATAATTCTACCGTTGCAGCGTAGAACTTATGAAAAATCCTTCTTTTCCTCCTTTTTTTTGAATTTCTTTCTTTTTTTTTGAAAAATTCCTTCTCCAAATCCTTCCTTTTGGTAACCCACCGCTGCGACCCTTGCATTTGTTTTCAAGATTTCATAAGTTTAGTCTCTCAAAAATTTCTGACATTTATTTAGTAACAATACTAAAATATCCAACTACATTATTTCGTTTAACGATATTGAGAAAAATGTTGAATTGATTTAACAAAAGCAAGACTGAATGTTAATATAGGGTCATAAATAATTTCCATAAAATCATTCTAATTACTTATATTTAATATACTTTAAACGTCGTTGTATTTTAGTTCGATAAGCGACGAGAGATTTGTGAAGTTGCTTTTTGTAAAATTTGGATGGTAATACAAACACCAGAAATGTAAGCATAGGTGGAATAAATGAAATAAGATATCCAACAAGAAATAACCATGCATCATTTGTTGATTTCATACATTTTGATATAAATAAAAGGATTAACCGTGGTAATGCAAGAATAACTAATGCAACAGGAGCAGTAAATAAATGTTTGTGTTGACGAATTTGCTCTTTTAATAGTTCTTTAAAGCTTCGGTTAATTTGAAGATTTGATCTTTGACGAGATTTTTTTGCTATGAGAATAACAGCTGATATTAGATTAATGACAAATGGAGTCAAAAAATGAAAAGTATGAATAATAGAATTGAATATTTGTAAACTTGATGGGTAAGTAACAATACACCATACTCGTTTATCATCTTCATTTTCTTCATCAATTAAACGTCGATAAAAAGGATCATAAATAGAAGTGCCAATGATAACAATCAGAAGAATAGCAATCGCTAATTTCGCTAGTTTTCTACTTTTGTCCTTATGAAAATGAGTAGCTTTTATTATTGTAATTGCTCGTTCTATAGCCACACATGCATTTAACCATTGATCCATATTAAGACAAATCCGTAAAAGAAAATCGAGAGATATACATTGAATTTGTAAAAATAATCGATTAGATATAATTGCCATTTGTGCAAGAACAAGTATCCAAAATTTCAATCCAAATAGAATTGTTATAAGTAAAGTAGTAATTGATGAACCTAGTAAATATAAGCCACAACCAACTTCGCATATAATTTTATTGTTGAATGTAATCAAAGCTAAAGTTCCATTGATAAATCCTGCTACCATCAAGATTGTAGTCAATGCGAAACAGATCTTTACAATATTTGGTTGATGTATAAGATTAATATGTGGTTGAATATGATAGGCTAAGATAGAATCAAGGGATAAACCAAATCCACTTGAACTAAATTGACATCGTGTTCCATAAAAACATGCTGGACAAATACACATTGATCTTTGTGGACAGTCTGAAGTGTCTTGAAAACATTCACCTGCATTTTCACAGACACTTTGTCCTAAACAATCAAATTTCATATTATGATTAAAGTCAAAACAATTTGCTAGACGTTGGTTTCCATAATCATAACATAAACAAATATGAAGATCATCATAAAAACATGAAAGATTTGATGAATAGTTTCGACATGGTAAATGATAATATTTGATGCGACGAAGAACATGCATCTGAACAAATGTTCCATTAAATAACTCATTTATATGTTGACAACGATCTGTTGGATTTATCATTTTATTAATTATTGTTGATCGTTCATAAGTTTTTTGAATAACAGCTAAATAATAAATTTTATTTAAAAGTTCAATAAAAACAAGATGAAATGGTTGTGACCAATAAACTACAAGTGAACTTTTTGTAAGAGGAATTGTTCGAAAAGTTGTTGTTCTCATCGGTGCACTATTATTAATCACTTGAATAAAATGAATGAATATTGATTGAGATAAAACAATACTTTTTTGAAATGATAGAATTATTTTGTTATCAACTATTTCACATCGATCACCAATATAACCTTTTGGACAAATGCATATGAATTTTCTAGCCGATATCATATATTCATCAGCAGGAATACATTGACCACCATGTTGACATGTGAAATTTTTATCCATTTGGCAAATTGTATTGACAAGAAGACATCGATCACCAAATTTATTAATAGGACAAACACATACAGATCGATTATTAGCTAAGACGTCAATACATATTGAATCAGATGAACACGTGCAAGTATGTTGAATAGTACAATACCGTCCAGACCATCCTGGTTTACATTGGCAAAAGCTACCATTTTTTGGATTATTTGAATATTTCACACATTTTCCACGAATACATTGAGAATTTGAACAACTTTGAATGTCTTCATTAATTCGTGGAATGTCTACTATATATACCAAACGATGAACAGGTAAAAATGGAAATATGATTGGAAACAATAAACTTCCTCGATAAATTAATGAAATTTTTTCGTAAATATCAATTTGTATAGCATAATTTTTACTTTCATTTTTTGGTCGAGTTGAGTAGAGCAGATAAATATTAAATTTAATTTTACAATCTCTTGTTGCCAAATAAGTAAATTGTTCATATGAATGAATAGTTCTTTCTTCACTATCATCGATAAGTGAAATAATTATGGCAAATAATGTTGACCAAGAGTCTGATACTACTTGAAATTTAATGGTTAAACTCACTCGTTGATTTTGATATTGACACATATTACCATAAAAACTAGGCGGACAAAGACATGCATTTGTTGTTAAGTTCTTTTCATTGTTTAACCAGATACGTAAATCAAAACCACGATGACATCGAAGTTCATGTTGATGAGGCATTTCCATGCGAGGTAAATTTGAAAATATGGGTTTTATTATATTCTTAGTTTGATCTTCGACGGGTTTGCTCATTTCATCTAATGAAAAATATTTTCTTTGTTGTTTTACCTTGTATTTTGTTTCGTGACATAAAAACTGTTCAACTTCAGAACGAATCGATAAATAAGACGAATGACAAATATTATCCACTATGGAAATATCTGTTCGATTTTGCACACAAAATTTTTCATCATCTCCATGATCACAAAATGCACCATTGTCACATAGACTTTGATAACCAATACATTTGTAAGGACTTGAGTTTATACAGTAAAAATTATCGTAAAATTTTACTTGATACTTTTCTTGACATAATGTTGGTTCGTCAGTGGCACCAAGACAATCGATCTTGCCATCATTTGCTTGCTTAACAGGAAGACAAATAAGTTCATTGGTATCAGGTGAAACACATTTGTGACAATCTGAAGAACAATTTAATGATGAAGATAAATCACAACCAACTTCATCTTCACCATGTGGACAATTCCATAAACCATCACAAGGAGTATAAATGTTTTTACATGACCATTGTTCACATTCTGTTTCATCTGTTTCATTTTGTCCTTCGATAGTTATTGGAATGAGTTCAGTAAATCCATCACAAATAGTTTGAAATGAAATATTCTTTCTGGCATAGTTTATATGTAAATCTTCATCTTCACACCAATGTTGGTCTTCAAGTTTGCACTCGCAGATATCATTTCTAACAAGCGATTGATGTAGATACGTGCCAGTTACTTCACATTTGAAATGGTGTTTTAAAAGTTCTGTTAAATTACCGCGATTGATGTGCGTTATATTTTCGTCATCTTTGTGAGGACAATCGTCTCTAATGTCCATGAGACGACTTATTGAGATACATTTTGACGAATTAAAACATTGGTACATGTTTGATCTATTACAAATTGCAGAAGTATAATTAGTAATTAGATTAAATCTCTCCAGATCTTGGAATAGTGCGGATAAAGGCATCTCATATCTATCCTCCCATGTAGTGGACAAAATTGGTTGAGCGACTAGCATATCAGGACGGAAACATGTTTTATTTTCGAATAAAACCTTCGAGTGATCAATAAAATACTCATCATAACGTGAATTGTTATAGCATGCGTAAGGTAGCACAGTATCGCTATTGACCAAATATAATGCATCATCTTTTATGTGTGCCAAAGAAACATGACCAAAAAAAATAGGAATATTCGGAATATAAAACATATATGGACATTTGTTGTTAATGATCTCTACACATGCTTGTTTTTCACAAATTCCATTACACCATGGCTCTTTTGAACCTGGTATTTCTAACAGGCATTGGAAAGCTAACCAACATTGTTCAGATGTCGAATTGTCTCTAGCAGAATATATCGCTTTCAAAAGTAAGGTTTTGCGTTGATACACACAAGAACTTGTCATGAATGTATATTGACATATCTTTTCTTCACATTCAAATGATGGTATACCTATATTACATTTGTAACTGTGTTCAAAGCTCAATGAAATTTCGTCAGAACCATCAAGACAATCAGGAGTGTTACGATCATCTCGAAAAAATGACTGTGGTATACATTGTCCATTAGTACATCGATATTCATTATCATTACATTCATTTATTTCAAGTTGCCAACAATGTTCTTCATCAAATTCGCCATCGAGACAGTCGACCTGTCCATTACAAATTTCACTCCAATCTAAACATGCTGGAAAAGGACCACGATTACATTGTAAATGAGTATAACAGGTAAACTTATTAGGATTATATTCATATGTACGATAATAATCATGAATAATATCATCTAAAGATAAATGATTTCGATTATAATAAGTAATTTCATATTGACACATAGAACCAAATCTTGGTAATGTACAATTATAAAATACTTGAGTTTCCAGAAATATATCATTCAATGTTGATAATTGGTTTAAATAGAATTCATAACGTTCAGCAACATCTATTGGTGCTGACCACAGGTATAATTGTTGACTAGTAATATTTCGTTTCGCAAGTTCAGCAAAAGTAAACTTTGGAAAGACATCATTACTCTCAATATGAAATTTCAATAGCCAATCATCATTCATACAATAAGATATAATTTCACGATTAACATTTGTTTCATCAATAGAAGCAGCAACATGCAAACAGTCGTGCTGTAATACAGGATGATTCTTACTTTCACTTACCCAATCTGTATAATGAAGATTGATTTGAGGCGTAGCAACAACCAAATTTAAGAAAATGAAATTGAATAGATATCTTGTGTGATACATTATCTAGTTATAATCCAGTCACAAATGAATTCAGTAAGAACTATTTATAAAACTCAAATATAGTTTATCATTATTTTTTTTTTCTAAAGATCATTAGGAACTGTTGACTTTATAACAGTTTATACGAAGCTATGAATAAAATCGTTTGTTCCTGCTTGATTGACGTAGCTTTAATATAGTTGTTGATAAAAAATGTGAACACATATAATAGTCGATGGTCCTTATTTAGCATTAGTAATGGAACATTTATCTATTGAAGACTTGACTTAACACTTCATTTCAACAGGTTTTCCTATAATGGATAAGTCTCTCGATATATCAAACTAAAAATTTTAAATGAAATGTGCTCAAATAAGGTATATGTAAAAATAAAAAGAAACAACTTTAAATGACGTTTCATTTCATAAAACAATCATTCAACGAGTACCATTACTTTTCATTGCGTAGAACAGTGATAGATAAATAATCATTTTAAAATGAATCACGAACAGTGATATGGATCTTTTTTTAACCAAGATTTTGAAAGATGTATGACGTATTTTAATATAAAATAATATTTGATTGATGATAAATTTAGAATTAGGGAAACAAATTTATGTTGTTTTATCAATATTAATTCTTTAATTAATCAACTGATGAACAGATTGTGTGTCAATGCATTTATGGGTAACAGTGTAGGTTTTAATGGACTTTATTATAATTTTTTTCCAGTGTCTGCAAGAGTGGTGGAAAATGTTCAATTCTTTTTTGCCTTTTTCCTTTGATGCAGCTAGAAGTTTTCAACGGCACTTTTAAGATTTTCTTAGTTTTGAGAGATTTCGATCTGAATCAATATCAGTAAGACATGTTCAAAGCTAATCCAACTATCGTTCAATTCGAAACAATTATTAGTCAAAAGCTATCTGATCTTTTCATTCATGAGACTCAACATCATAAAATCTTCTTCAAAAACTCGTTGGTAAATGAATTAAATATTATTTTCAGGGTGTGGGTGTGGGTGGGTGGATTCCGGTGTGATTTAAGACAAGATTATACGCACATCAAAGATGAAATCGTTTTGGTTCCAAAAAAAATAAACACGAACCGATCCCATCATTAACGCAAACTTACTTACACCCTCATTCTATTTTCATCTTTCTATTCACCGATCTCTTTACCTGAATCTTTGATGAATTCTAGTGTCTACACATATTATATTGATATAAGCGTGTGCGGATGTGGGTGTCGGTGTGGCCCTTCTCTTCACTCATACCCACACCCCATGTTATATTTTACGACCTCTTGGATATTATTTATCAGCTCTTTGGATTATTGGTACAAGTCTAAATGCTTATATATTATATGTATTTATACGAAATAAAAATTTACGCCAATCATCAACGAATATTTTCATTTGTAGTTTGGCATTAGCAGATTTTTGTGGAGCTTTGTTCGATATACCACTATCAGCTATTCCACTCGTAGGATGCAGATTAAAACTTTTATTTAACCATTTATATGTTTTTTTCATTCGCTTTTTATTTTAGATGGTTTTTTAGTTATGTTGCTTGCGTACTGGAAACTATTATAGCTTATTTTGCTAGTTGTTCAAATATGTATATGTTATGTTTAATTTCTATTGATATATATACAAGAAAATCTTTGATTATTTTAAATAAAAATAAAAGATTTGATTGTATTTAACAGATATTTTGTTGTGACAAAATTGTGTTCAACATCAGTTATATCGGTTAAACACGCTTATATAACTATTTGATGTGGTTATTTATTAGCTTTATTTTGGACATTACTTCCGGTTATTCGATGGTTGAGCAATGATTATGAAGTCTGATTTCAATTTCCTTTTTTTTAGTGAGTACAATAGTTTACTTGTAGGGTATTGGAGCATCTTGTAGTATAAAACGGGAAGAACGATCATTGAATGTAAGTAGTTATAATCTGACTATTTTTATATTTGTTTACCTGATACCAGTTATTATTATTATTGTAACGAATATAAGTGCTTTCCATGTAGCAAGTAAATCTTTTATTATATTAGAAAATAAAAATAAAGAAAATATAAAATGATTTTTTTAGATTCGTGAACGACGACGTCGTACAGATATAAATTTAGATGAATCTCATTCTCATCTTTCATATTTAATTGAACGTCGTATAACATACACTGTTATTTTTATCATTGGTAATAATAGTAGAGATTTGAATAAAAAAAGAAAAGAATTGAATTGAATATGTCTTTTGGTGTTCTTAAGGTGGTTATCTTCTTGCTTGGACTCCATATGCCATAACCAGTTTTAGGGTGTGAGTGTGGGTGTGGGTGTGCGAGTGTGGAATGCTGGCGTGGGTATGTGTGGGGGTATGAATGTAGACGGGCGTGGCTGTGGTTGTAGGAGGTGGATCTGGATCTTCTGTTGAACGAAACCTACACCCACACCCACGCCCATACACCGGTTGGCTTTCTCAACCAGTCCGGTTCCAGCGGAGGTAGAGAGTTTTCTTGATAGTTGACAATCATTTTGAAGGTGTCTCAGGCTTTTACGAAACCTTTTTGAGGATTTACATTTTTGAAACAGAATGATTCGGTATGGCAGCTTTTTTCACAGTATAGTAAGGGTTTCATTTATTTATAAATGTTTGTTAGGTTTTTATTCGTGCTGCTGAGAGACTCCGGTAGATCTTGCATTTGTGCAAGTCAGAACTATCCTTGTTGTTCCCTTGAAGCAGCAGAGAGTATGCTATTTTCTGACAGGTAGAACATCAAACGCATAGTAGCAAATTGAATGAGCAAACCAAGATCTAGAAATTCTTCCACCAAGGCGATTTTATCATAATCCAAATTCATCTAAAATTCAAATTCCTAATCTTTCAAGAGGAGTCTAAAATATTTTTTGTAAAGAGCTAGTAATCGACGCTCTGTTTTCATTTCCGCGATAACGCGAGGTTCTAATGTTTTCAGACTCACGTATGAAGCTTCAAAAGTGCTGTTTTAACCACCTACCCTTGATATGCACGCACTCACGTCGAATGCAAAACAAAAATGATTCGAATGCTTCATGCCGAGACGGAGAGTTTTTTTTTTATTTTTCTTCCGATTAAAAAAAAAATCTTTTTTTCGGGGAGAAAAATAAACCTTTCCATTATACTTGAGAAACTTTGTGTTGATGTTTTATCCGTTTGCATCGAAAAAATGTGTAAAAAACATCGATTCCGTGGAGCACAGTCCAATGTTGAGCAATTTGTACCTTCCAGGGTGTGGGTTGGTGTGGATGTGGGGTGTGGGTGGGTGTGGGTGTGGGTGTGGGTGTGGGTGTGGGTGTGGGTGTGGATGTGCGTGTGGGCGTGGGTGTTGGTGTGGGCGTGGGCTTGGGTCGGTGTGGGTGTGGGTTGTGTGTGGGTGTGTGGGTGTGGGTGTGTGGATGTGGGTGTGTGGTGTGGAGTGTGGATGTGGATGTGAAGAGTGGGCGTGGATGTGAGGTGTGAGTGTGGGTGTTGGCGTGAGTACTCTTTCAATTCACATCCGCAGCCACATCCACCCACCTGTGCCACCCACACCTCACATCTATGTCCACACCCACAATCACACCAACACCCACACCCCACATCCACAATCACATCCATACGCCACACCCACACTCTAGTTCATTGATTTTGCTTGCGTAGTTTTTTTCTTTCTTCGAATACATTAATTACAGTGCCGTTTCTCCCTGTCCCTCTGCAGACAGGGTTTAATCCACTTTACAGAGAGAGCTCACAACGCGAATCAGAAAAGCACGAAGAAATATAAGAAGGACAAAAATACGCTTTCTTTCTCCTTGCAATTAACTTATCGCGCATAGAACGTAAAAAGAAACATCACATGCACCCTGTTTTTCTCCGACTCTTTTATCTTCGAAACATCGTAAAAAGACCACTTGTTTGTTGTTTTTTCTCACTAACAACTTATGGCCTTTGGACATTGTCAATGGAGTGCTCGTAGTCGTCGCAACGGTATGCGCGACCATCCTCCTTACGTAAGTTTTGTCTATCAATCGGGGCAGATTCATATTGAGCTCGCAAAAGACAATTCAGAATGGCCAAGAACGCAGTCTCCTATTGATAAGTGAGGGATTCTTTAGCATCGCCTTCGTAAGTAACGTTATACAGTAGGGAAGCAAAGCCACCGCCCCATGGCCGAAGTGATAGTGTTCAACCACCTGGATCATTTCGTCAATTCGAGCTTTTACTCGTCAAAAACCAGGATCACAAGGCTGAATATATGTACGAATGGAAGATCAATGAAACTCTGGGAGTGTCTGTTGGAAGTCGCCATAGTCATGGACGAAAACTAATCGACAGCCATTCCGTGGTCGAAGTGCGCTAGTTCAATAGGCTGGATCAAACGACAGATGATGGAATCATGATGGCATGGCACAATTTCGAGGGAACGTTTGTTTACCATCGACAGGCAAGACGAGATCGAATTCGTCAAATGAAACAGCTAATTCCTTCCGCGCCAGTAGTCATCTCCTCACGTGAACAAAACGATTTACCCACATGGAAAGTAGGTACGAAGGAACCGTCATCAAGTACGTGTGTGATCTGTCTGGACACATACACCAAAGAGGAACAGATTACCGGGCTGCCTAACTGTATGCATAGTTTTCATGGGAACTGCATTCGAGTTTGGCTTTAGGGCAGCGACCATTGTCCGATATGTTGAATTAAGGTACACTAGATCTTCTGTATATACTTGCTTTTTCCCTTTTCTTTCCTAAGCAAAGAGCGACGGTTAGTCCTTCACTTATTCCGTCTTCGCCAATGCCCCAATCATTTTCTTATGTAGAGGAATGCCTTTCGTTGAAACAATAAAGAGGAAAGAATTTGTCTCAACCAGAATAGGAAGCTTTTATTCTCTTTGCTGCCCCTGCACTTGCTTCTCTTGATTTTTGTTTTCTGATTTGCTCATAGCAACCAGCATCACCTCTTTGGACATTCCATGCAGGTCCTTCTATTTGTTCTAG